AGTGAGTTTTTTGAATGAATCACTGAATCATTGACTCACTTGATTTGTTTAAAACCATGGATTCATTCAGCAACGAACCAGACGTTCATCAGTTCTGCTGTGACTTTGATTGGAACTGTTTTTATTTGTGAAATTGAGCAGACAACATTGTGTCTAAAATGTAACGATACTAACTTCTTGTTTATTGAACTATTAAATCAATATGACATTTGCAGTCGTGCAGATATTTTTTGGGGAGAAATGGCACTTTTGCTGGTGTGCTATTGCTAAACTTTATCATATATAAATATAAGCGGGTGACTTTTTGCCCTCACTTCTTGAATTTTAGGCTCATATAGCTGCATAAATGAGGTGCTGCATTAAATGCATTGATCACTTTAACACATTTTTTTTTCATAATCACACCAAATGAATTATGATATATGAATGTCCACTCTCTCCTCCATATATGAATCAGTCTGTTGAGCACTGTAGCTTTAAGAGCTTTAATGACTCCAGAGCCTCTGGTCTGATGAATCGCTCACTGAGACGATGCATGTTAATAACTGCTGTAAACGGCCTCATCTCCAGCTCTTCAGAACAGAATCAAGTCAGGTTTTTGTGTTTGTTTGTGTGTATTTGCAGAGCCCAGCTCTCATTACGTCATCTCTCTGAAGGCCTTCAATAACGCAGGTGAAGGAGTTCCTCTGTACGAGAGCGCCGTCACCAGATCCATGTCAGGTGGGTCACCGGAGCATCTCACGTCTGTTTAGATCATTTCTGAGCTTCCCTTCCAGTCTGATTATAGTGATGTGCTTCACACCAGTCTCCCATACGATCACAAACCTTCAGGAGATATACGGACAGTATTTGATGTGTACTGTATCTTCATATTTATGTTCAGTATTTGCTTTGAAATTATTTTTTCTTCCATCAGAGGAAACGTTAGTGAGCACAGAGAAATGAGAAGAAATTGAATCAATGTGGTTGATGAATCAAATGAACCAGCTGTGAATCATTTCAAACTTTTCAACTTTAGAGTTGTGTGTTTGTCTGATGATGATGATGATGATGATGATGATGGCTGGGTTGTGTGTTAGTTGTCTCTTGACTAACTGTCTTCTCTCGGTGTCTCTCAGGTGAGGCTGTAGATTAATCTGCTTTACTCGGTGAATCTCACTTGCGGCTCATATTTCACTTCAGAATCAGAAAGAGAGAAACAAGAAAATATATTTAGCATGAAGAAAAGGCAGCTGATTTTAACAGCATATTTTTGTGCATATTTAAGCAGATTTAACCCCAAATTCCCATTCCTGTGTTAATTTAATCTGTATAAAATAAATGTAGCTTGAATACTAACTTTATGTATATATAAATGTACTTTTGCAATACAAATAATATTTTTTCCCATTACAATCAGCTGTTGAGGATTGCTATTGTGAAAACAATGGTTTCATGTAAAATTGTGAAGTCAATCTTAAAACTTAATTTTCTTCATGCAGAATCTAATTTCTAATTTTCCTTTTGATTATGTGTGAAAATATTGTTCGTGTTTGCTGAGATTCACCCTGTACACTAAAAATTGGTAACCTAGCAGTGGTAACGTTTAACTGGTTTGATTCGTCAAATCTTTTTTTATTTATTTCTTTGTTTAATTATTTATATATTTATTTAGTAATTAATTGATTATTTTAACATTTATTTTTAATTATTTTATATATTTGTTTAGATAAATTTGTATATTTGTTTTATCTATCTATTGATAGTTAATA